AGCAATGTTAAAACTAAAACAGAGTTGATTGAAAATGTATAATTTTGATTTGATTGACCGAGAGTCGAGAACGCTCTCTTGCATATGCTGTTCAAAAGTGAGCATATTATATTAGTCAACTATACTAAGCAAAGTCGCTAAAATTGCAGTTCCCAGGTGTTTACTACCTGACTGTCAATGATAACTACTTTCTTCAACTTCATCTGCGTGCTTCTGATGATACTTTTGAAGGCTCACTTTGATAGCCCAAGATTACTGCAAGCTTAGCAAGGGCAACATCTTTATTATGTTCATGTAGTCCTTTGAGAGAGGGAATCCACAGCTTTTAACTTTGACCTCTTATTAAGTATGTTTACATCTCTGTTTGATTGTATTAATTCTGGTAGCGGGGAAAGGGAGTCTGAAATAATTTAGAGGTCTACTACAGTGTTTAAATCATTTTGAGTTTAGTACTCATTCCTAGCCCATTGGTTGCACTATCAGAGAGTTCACCTACATGTGCTTGTAAGGTTGAGCATTAGCTCCTAAGGGCCACCTTTTCATTGCTGATCGAGTAATACAATTATTTCCATTTCTCGCATTTCCTCCCATTTTTTTATTTTCTGAAGTTGGTTCTTGAATTCATCCCTACAGTTACTTCTATTACCTATTCCATTTATTACTGATTCTCACTGAAGAAATGTTTATTGAAATATTTCTGCCACAACTGTCTCTAATTTCTGGTTAAAGCTTTTCACATTTTGAACAATGCCTCTTCATTCATTCAATCAGTTCACCTGGATATCGTGAACGAAGTTATCATATCTCCCCAGCTTCTGGCTACCTACAACGTGGTGAGAGCTATTTCGGTTTAACAGATTCCTTAAATAAGAGGGCATTAAAAGTAATTCTCCTTAAAAAATGTGTTCATAGGATAGAATCATCCAGCAGTCTCGGGAGACTAAGCAATTGCGCTCTGGTTGTCGAGGCTGAAGTGTCTTCTCTAGGGTACAAAGTAGGTCGATATGGAGGAGAAGCTGTTACCCATGCAGCAGGTCCATTTTGTTATAATGTGCACATATGTGCCTATTACAACTTAACCTATTATAGGTATAGGTTAAGTAATAATTGTAATTACGAAGCAATAAGATGCTTATCTTAACATACTAAGAAGGTTAGGTAAGGTCGGTGTTTTCTATGAAGCTTTTCAAGGTAAACTCAATTATTCACAATAAATTAGTATGTCACATATGCACGTATTTAATAAGTCAATATTGACTATACTAAAGTGCGAGAACGGGTTGGCCTATTATAATAGAATCATATATACCTTCAACGTTTCTTGAGTGCGCCGCGTACACCATAATAACCCAATGGGTGCAATATTTAACTGTGGCGTTGGATCGACGTTGAATCAACGTCATCAACGTTGATAACGTTGATTCGGCGTTGAATTGGTGTTGGTCTTGGATACTGTACCCACTGGGCTTTGTCTACTTAACCCTCTTGAAATTCCGGGCCTCAAAAGGGATGTTATTTCCATTTCAATTGTTATTATTATATCAGCAATTCCGTTGTTTCTATCACTGTGTTTTTCCTCGAGTCTTTAATACCGTTGACGGGTCACCGTGACCCTCCACAACCCGGCGCCCATTTAACTGTTAGACAGGTGTTGTTAGCATTGCGTCAGCTGTTATTCGGATGCACTATGTAGCCTCTCGCTGGTGTGGACACAAAAAAAGGTTGTTGGAAGCCATTATTGACCGTCTCTCGTGATGCGTTTAGGAAAGCGGCCGCAGGTCAGTCATTGGAAGCTGTTTTGCAGAGATTTCTTTTGTTATTTTGGCCTCCGGTGATCTCCCTACCCAGTCATTAGATTCAGAGTGAAATTTGAGCTCACACAGACCGGCGTTTTTGCGATTGCGTCATTTTGGGCTGCGTTATTC